GCTCTTAAGCGTTACAGTTTCCAGTGAGGGTTGTTTCTGCTCTTTGCGCTGCCACAACCTGTCTGTCATTGCTATTTCTGACCCGAATGCAGAAGCCGTCACCCTCGCGACCACTGGACCGTTTTCTTGTCCTGCTGGCCTAGTGCCTTGCCTTGCACCTGAGCCCTTATTGGGGCAATTCCTGGCAATGTGGTCGGCACCCTTACACTCAAAACATCGCCTTTTCCCGTTTCCGTCCATGTGTGTATCTACCGCTGTTTTAGCTTTCTTTTGCCACTCCTCTACATTTGCCTTTTTTTGTGCTGCCTTGCACTTTTTGCTCTCCTCGAATCTCTCCGCGAGCCACGCCACACCACTGGGCAGCAAAAAGGACTCCTGTTGATTACAAATGACATGCGCTCTTGCTTCCGGGCTCAAACATTCTTTCAAGCGATCCGCGACGACTAGCTGCTTGAGTTCCTCGAACGTGCCTACCTTTGAACTCTGGACATAATAGTCGAAATAATTCTCAAGGCGTACGGCAAACTGATCCCAGGACTCCCTTTCTCCCTTTTCCGATCCCGCAAACAGCCTCTTGTACTCCGCCGCCGAAAGCCTGAGACCCTCCAAAATGCTTGACTTAAGCTTAACATAAGCTTTGCGCTCCTCTGCTGTAAGCCTGCACAGCAGCCCGCGTGCCCTTTCGCTCAACTGTGGCAAAACTAGCCCGGCCCACCATTTGCTCGGAACTTCATACGACTCGAGCGTTGCCTCAACATCCTCGAACCACATTGGCGCAAGCGCCTCTTGGTTCGGCATTGGTGCCAGTACACCCCTTAACAAGCATGCGAATTTCAGTCGCCTGTCTTCCTCTGACCTTCCGCCAAGCGCTACACTGTCATCGCTCTCGTTGGACTCCGCCACGTTACGGGCGCGTAGCCGCTGGCTTTCCAGCATCAAGCGCTACTTCTCCATTTCCGCCTCAGCAATTTTTAATTGAAGCTGGAGCAGCGCTAGCTGCTGTTCCGACGCCGTATCTGACGTGCCACTACCATGACCCCCCGTGCCGCTGTCGGCGACTCCCAACGCCTGCAAGTTTCCTGCCCCGTCCCCGTTCATTTCCGAGTTGTCCCTTTCTCTGTCTCGCAAGTTGTAATGCTTTGTCATCGCCTGCGCCCAACAGAAAATCAAGAGGTACCCGCCTGAAGTAGCCTTGCGGTGCGCTCTTCCTCCTCGGAATCCGGTGAACTAGCCTTGCTTCGTTGATCCCGCAGCGTGGTAGTCAGTTGAAGGTGGTTGTCGTCAGTCTCGGCCGATGTCGCTCCCCGCTGTCCTCCTCAGTTCAGCCATGCAGATCCTGCTCGACTGCGCCAGTTACGTTCCGTTTGGTTCTTTCCACTCGCCTCTCGCTTGTTGCGCGACATTTGCTGCTGCCGCCAAGGAAGCTGAAGACGAGAACTTTTCATCTGCTGGCACCTTGAGGAAACGACCGCTCCGACATCATCTGGGTATAGAGACGTTTATTCGTTTTTCTCTTCTCCCTCTCACTGTCCCTGCACCCCTGGTTTTATCCCCTGTCTCCCCATTCAACCACTCTTCCAGTCCAATCGTAACGCACCACTCTTATAGTCCAATCAAAACGCACAGATGTGTCTCTCCTCGCCACAACCTCAAAGACCCACCGCCTCTTGCCCACTCATCGGTTGTCCGCAGTCACTCAGGTTTCTTTCACACCGGTTCCCGGAATGGTCGACGACGGGCGTTGCCAGGTTGTGGAAAAGGCCCTCCGAGCGAGTTCCCGCGATGCCGGGTTGACAGGCCATCAATACAATTGGCCCCTGCGCCAATGCCGTCGCCTCCGCTGATTCCGATCGTCCGGCGGACGCGTAAGTGTACCTTCCACGTGTACCGGCCACCTGCAGCCTGGCTTGGTCTCCTGTAAGGCGCCATAATTGAGCCCGACAGCGGCACGGGAGTTGTCGCGTCCTTTGTGGCCAGCAGACAGTCATCGTCCCGCATTCCGGTGGCCCTGCTTCCTTGTTGGCGAGGGGTCGCCGGCCGCTGGGTGGGTAACATAAGGTATTCGGGGAACGCACGAAGTTCGAGCCCAACACCATGCGTGAGATAATTGAACCCTATCACGTAAGTTTGACAGTACATGAGCAAGTTCCCCATCAGTTGCACTATTGCAGAAAGAGTTTGCATATCTCGATCATATTTAAGCTATGTATTTGTTTAATCAACAAGAGTTTTGCAGATATTGTTTCGTAGTGGTTGTAAACTGCACTCGTCTGCGCATGCCCATTCTCTTCTTTTTTGCCTATATATGTACACCACTCCACTATTAAATTATTGTTGAAAGTCAGCACTCTTCTATTCTTGTATCTCTGCTTCCATAGTTACACTGTAACTACTTTTTAAGTTGCGCTGTTCGTATATTCAGTTATGTCGTACCAACTTGCCCAAGTTTCCACGCTTCGAGAGATGTAAGTGAAAAGGACTTGAATGATAGGACAAGGCAACCACAAATATAATACATGCAAACTAACACAGTGTATTGTTTCTCAAATGGAAAGTTTGGTGCATCAACGCTAATCTACAAAAGAAAGCAGGTTGCACTACAGGCATTTGATTGCATTGGTCCCAAAATGCAAGAATTATCAAGGACAGAATAGAATTTGAGGAGCTTGAAGGGACATGAGAATTAAATTTTCAAATTCAGGGGTTCTCAAAATTCTCAAGGCCCTGCACGAACCCTGGCCGTAGTGTAGTTACTGGGAAAGAAGATCCATCACATCATCAGAATGCTACCACGCTTTTGTAATTTGCAGTGCATAGAAGTCGTGTTAGAGCTGCCATAAGTCAATTCTTCAGCACTGAACCAACAAATCGCATGAGCATGTACTCTTGCCTTTTTGAATGTCATGTTTCTCTTTGATTTCAATGAGATTTTCATATGATATAGCACCTATCAACCTCAATTAAATGAAAACGAATGCATGCTTCTGAATAAATGTACTGGGTGAAGACTTTGTACACTTCCAGCCACATCTTGTCCTCAAAGGTACATGTAGGATGAAAAATTCAAATGAATTCCATCAACATGACAAGATTTGACTGAGGACACATTGAATACACATATGTGTGGTATCTTCCAACGAATTCTTTCTCTATAATGAATGCTTGGCAGCGCTTCGGTGTCAGCAGTTTTATGCTACAGAATTTATCCCACAAAAGAAGGTTTGTGATTGGTTATACTTGTTATTTTTTTTTTCAAGAAAAATAACATTTTACAATAACATGATCATTTGATCGACAAAGTCGTACAGTAGATCATGTGGTGAGCCTGGGCACCAAATGCGCTCGCAAGAGGAAGAGAGGGTTGACAAAAGCCAAAGAGTATTTGGGATTACTTAATGCTTTAATAATTGCAGTTTCGGGTCTAATGAGAAAGGGCAGTGATGACTACACTCCTTGATTTCAAAGAAATTTTCACATGAGATAGCTATCATCCTCAACTGAATGGAACTACACTCAACCTTTGATGCGGCACAAGAAATCTTACCTGTGGCAAGGTGCTAAGACTTCATGAAAGTGCCTGTATACACCAACTCATGAATAGATAGGCGCATCACATGACTGTTATTGTCATAAATGAACAGCGCAAACTGCATGCCATGTATGGATGTAATGAGCTCGGAACTGCATCTAGCTCATCATGTAATGTACTTGACTCGAGCTGCATAAAGTACGCTATACCTTGCAGGCTCTTTCAGAAATTTAGTGTGGGCAGCCTGTTAGGGTGCTCTTCATCAGTGCAGTCCCATGAATGGAATGATTATTCCAGAAAATGGCCAAGAACCCACCGAAAGAGTAAAAAAAAAAGCGCCGCTCAGTTTAATTATTTCTATCGCCCACTGTACGGTCATGAATTGAATAAGGCGTTTTGAAAACTTCTCGGCAAAAGCACTCGCCCTACTAACAGTCGTAAATGGCTGGCTTATGGGGCAGTAGTAGAAAACCACTTTATTAGGGTTTATGGAGGTTAACGTGCGAAATTGACTCCGTTTCTATGAGAGACGCCGTAATGGTGTACAGCGGGTAATTTCCACCACCTGATGTTCTTCATGGTACAGCTAAAGCACACAGTACACGGGCCTCCAGAATTTCGCCTCCATCGAAATGCCACCGCTACCACCGGGATCGAACCCGCGACTTTCGGGTGTAGCACCAGCGAAGCGCAATCATCTAAGCAACACCTCCAAGTGTAGCGCGGCTAGCCGTCCACGGTAAGCAATCTCCTAGTATGAGTACTGATTTCACAACACCCTAATTTTAGAAATTATTGTAACAAAATATAAAGCAGCAAGCAGTTTCGTTTAGATACGGAAGATGCGCGACTAAGTCGTTTGGCCTCATTCTCACAGGAAAACAGTGGCACACAAGACTAGGAAATGAGTGACGTTCGGCGTTTTCCCAGAGCAAAAAGCGGACGAGGTACGCAGCGGAACCGCGTGCGTAAATAAACAAAATACTACGACCGCTTCCAAGGAAAAACCAGCGATGCGCCCTGCATGTGGCAATACAACCTCAGTTTAGCGCACAGCTACCGCTAATGCTGGATAAGAACAAATATTATTCGAAGAACAAGTTTTTAGCAAAAAATAGCACATACCAATTGAAGAAATAGTTTCCGAGTTCAGTTCACTCAAACGAGCATCCTCTGCGTTATCAGCGCACGGAAATTTGCCGGTGATCAATCACTCCGCCCCGTGTGCGCTCGATAAGGCCGGATTAAGGAAAACGTTCTGCCTCGTGCTCGCAGAGAAAGCATTGAAACAGGGCCGGCAAGATGAACCGTATGCAAACCATCATCGACGGTAATTCATCGATGCTCGACATCTTGGGAGATTGCAACAGCTGAGTGAAGCAGCGTAGCGCTGCCGACCAAGCGGCATCGATTAGATTTCGCTAAGCTGGCAGAGTCACGATGATGTCATGAGACACTGGGCGGCGGTTACCTTTTGTTCCGGGTCTGTGAAGACGCTAACGTCGACGTTGGTTATTATGAGCGACGTGGGAAGGTCAGACGTATCCGCCAAGTCGTTCAACAGCACTTCGCAGTCTTCCAAAGCGCTCATTCGGTGGCACTCTTCCATGTCGCCAGACGCACTGTCACGGGTTTTCATAATCCAACGACACCGAATACTTATTTGATACTTTGATGCGTTATAACTTGTTACGCAGACTTGGGGAATGGACAGGTATCACGGAGACAGCAGTTTTACGGCAACACGCACGACAAGCAGAACGAATAGGTGTTCTCTGACAAGCACGCTTCGCGCACTGTCGCGAATTGATAAACGAAAAAGAGGCGTCTATATGGACAAGTTAATGAAGGAAGAAAATAGCTGACTTTGTGTAGTCGGCAGCGCCTATTTGTCAGTAGTGGCAGAATGATTTAATATTAAGATCTACGTTGCTTCATGACCTCCGAGATTGAGGGCGCACGGCGCGTGGTTCTCTTCGGCCGTCCCAATCGCCGCACTCCCGAGCAAAACCAGGGAATCTCGCCTCACGCGCCCAGCCACCGCTAGAGGGCACGTTTACTGGTGGTTCTGCCCACATTGAGGCGCTGCCCACATTGAGGATCTAGATGGATATACAGACTATAACGGTGCAATGGTTATCGATATGTGTGAAGAACAGCAACTGGTAATAGTTAACCGGGAACATAAATGCGACGGGCAGATAACGTGGCAAAGCGGCAGTAGACAGTCTTGCATAGACTACGGCCTGGTCTCAGAGCACACGTACGAGCGGTTGAACCAAATGACGATAGATGAAGAAGGAGAAAACAGTCTGGGCAGCGACCACAGGCGTATAATCCTGAAATTTGACAGTGGGGGGGGGGGGGGGGGGGGGCTAGGAAGAAAACACAGGAGGTTGGGCTCCCGAAAGTAAGCGAAAAGCAGATAGCAGACATCATCAATAGCATCGAAAGAGAATTAGAAGCACAGCCAACAAAGGTGTGGGAATATGACGTGGTTGTTAGTTGTATACAAAAGGAAGTAAACAAAGTAAGGAAAAAAACCGCTGGAGGGGTAAACGGAAACCACGAAGCTGGTGGGACAAGGAAATTAAACTGGCTATTGAAGAGCGACGACGGGCCTCTAGACTGCACAGAAAAGCAAAGCAAATGGGATATCAGGATGATGAGGTGCAGTTACAGGGGAGCCGGTACCGAGAAAAGAATTTTGAGGTGCAGAAACTAGTACAAGCGAAGATTAAAGCTGCGAGTGAGAAATGGTTATCAGACATACGTAAGAAGGATAAGAGCGCCCCCCCAAAATTCTGGAACCATTTAAAAGCATTGGGAACGACGACTAAAGAGATGCAGACTCAGATACAGGACGGGGACGGTAGCGTTCTCCTGGGGGACAGCGCATTAGAATACCTACATGGAGTCATAGGAAATACTTTCGGCCAAGCACGCGAGAGGTCGGCTAACTGGACACAGGTGGCAAATAAAAGAGTGGCAGATGAAAAATTTAATATCAAATTTTTGGACTGGAAAAAGGTAGAACACAGTGTTCCCAAACGTACGGCAACAGGACCGGATGGAATCCCGATAGAGATTATCAACCATTTGGGACCAGCGGGACAGGCGCACTTGTATGGAGCCATCGAGCGCGCTATAAAATCCAAGAGCATTCCTTCGCACTGGCGCGAAAGTAGAATGAGTTTGATCTACAAAGGCAAGGGAGAAAGGGACAAGGCGAGCTCTTACAGGCCGATTACAGTCAAGTCAGTGCTCTATAGATTAGCTATACAAGCCATCAAAGCCGAGTTGTTGAAGTGGGTTGAAAGTAACGGTATTTTAGGGGAACTGCAAAATGGATTTAGGCCGGGTCGACGCTTGGAAGACAATCTTTTCGTCATATCCCAGACCATCAAAATTTCGGCAGCACAGGGCAGACCAACATGGCTACTGTTTCTGGACATAAGGGGTGCCTATGACAACGTGGACAGGGGATTGCTGTGGCATATACTGGAATAGGAAGGGATTGGGTCGGAATTTGTAGGGCTGCTAAGGGCAATATATGAGGATAACAAGGCACACATAACATGGGAAGGGCGTACATACACAGAGCCCGTGTACATTCGAAGAGGTTTAAAACAGGGGTGCCCTCTTTCGCCATTGCTGTTCACACTGTACATTAGAGGAATGGAAAGACGACTAGAGGAGAGTGGATTGGGCTTTGATTTGTCACACCGAAGCAATGGAGTGTGTCACACACAGGTCCCGTTAATTAGGGAGGCGATCGCCGGGCTAATTCCAAGGGCCGAAGTGTTGGCCCCCCGAACCGCACCACGAAAGCGTGGACAATTTAGAAGTGGTCCTTTTTGGCGCGCCAGCGGACGCCGGCTGTGGCCCAAAGAACAAGTCAGAGCCGAGAGTTGATAAACAAAACAAATATTATATTCTCAAAAATGGCAGATCGAAAACAATACACAAGAATGCACACTCCACAATAGTTACATACAATACGTCACCAACCAAACGACGTACTACACAGTACAATCAGCCACACTCAAAACAACGGACCCAGACAACGATACGCACTACAATGCAGTCGCATGCATTGAACAACCAAGACACTTAAAGACTAAAGAGATAGAAAACCTATCCAGTCCAAAGTTCTTGGAACAAAAGTCGGGATGATACTCTTCCGAGAATCACTCACTCAAAGTCCAGCGTTGTTGTCGTTCCGCTGCCCCTGCAGTTTCTCTTCCCGGAAACTTCGCGTCTTCAGTTGGCCTCTCTCCACGCTTCAAACTTCTTCGCCGGAAACACGTCGGCTTCACACACGCAGCTGTTGCCACGCGTCCTCGCTCGATAGCGGTAGACACACGCTCTTGCCTGTAGCTCGAGCCTTCACCCCTCAGGTGGAAATCCTCTTCATCTCCTGCTTCGTCCCTATGAACAAAACCTTCGCCGACTACACGGTGGAATCCCTACGCACTCTGGTGCTAACTTCCGTCTTCTCCTGATCTCTCGTCTCCGCTGCTCGGTTAAATACCTTCCGCGCGACCTTCCAGAAGGTTCTCGTCATTTCGTCGGCGCGATACGCAGCGAAGGCTGGGGAGAGGCGCGAGACTGTACGAGGGCCGTCCCCGACCGATGACTCAACCCGGCCGAACACGCCCCTTTCCTTCTAGAACTTTCCAGTGCTTGCCCGGCCGCTGCTGTGGGGTGAGGAGGTTCATCGGCGAAGCCACGCTTCCGAGGGGAGAGCGTCGCGCGCCCGAGGAGCCTTTAAATGTTTGTTTTCTTTTTTTTTTCCGTTGACCTCGCGGCGTCATTCCGGCGCGTTATCGCAAGAATTTGGCGGCGCGCCCATTTTGAGCGCTCGTTCTGTGACAGAGTGTTAGTGGAGCAACGGATTCCGGGATTGATGTACGCAGACGATATAGTGCTGCTGGCGGATAATGCGGAAGAACTTCAAAAACTGGCTGACATTTGTGGTGATGAGGCAACGTACCTAGGCCTACATTTTAACCCACAGAAATCTGGAGTCATGGTGTTCAACGAGGAAGCTCATGTAGCACCAATAAGGATACAACAGGAAGCCATACCATTAGTAAATAAGTACAAATACTTGGGGATCTGGCTTAATGAAGGAAAAGGCTACCTGAATGCTCATGAAGAACACCTCAAACTGAAAGGGAGACGAAATGCAGCAGTAATGAAACATAGGGCACTTTGGGGATACAATAAGTACGAGGTAGTACGAGGCATCTGGAAAGGGGTAATGGTGCCGGCGCTCACGTTCTCTAATGCCGTATTATGCTTAAAGTCAGATATCCTGTCGGGGCTGGAGGTTAACCAAAAGGCAGTCGGCAGGTTAGCTCTGGGAGCTCACAGTAAGACTACAAACGAGGCTGTACAAGGCGATATGGGTTGGGCTTCATTTGAGGGGAGGGAAGCACAAAGTAAAATACGGTTTGAGGAGCGACTTAGACATTTAGATGAGAAGAACTGGGCAGCCAGAGTGCACAGGTACCTGTACCTGAAAAGTGTGGACACCCAATGGCGGAAGAGGACGCGAAAGCTGGCGACTAAATATAACTTGACCGCGGCAAATAAACAAAGGGGGCCAGTTAAAAAGCAAGTGAGGGAAACAGAGACGCTCATGTGGAAAGAGAGGATGGAAAAGAAGGGATCACTGGGAATCTACAAGGCAAGCAAACAAGAGATCCGGAAAGAGAACTTTTATGACAACAATAAAGGTAGTGCGTTGCTCTTTGAGGCGCGGGCTGGCTGCTTGAGAACTCTAACTTACAGGAGCAAATATTCGTCACAGGATGAGACATGTGTTGGATGTGGCATAAATAAAGAAACAAACGACCACATAGTCATGGAATGCCAAAAGATTCGGCCGCATAGAAATGGGGGGAAAGTCACACTTCCTGAGGCGCTGGGCTTCGCAGTTGATGGAAGCATTAACTGGTCAGCAGTAGGTATTACTAAGCAGCGGCTGGAGTATTGGTGGAGGAAAAGCAGAGAAGTCGATAAAATAACATCCCGGCCAAGAGTAGCGGCTGGGCAAAATTAACAAGACATCCGAGTTGAGGGACAAAATTTAAACTCGAACTATTAAGGTAGGCTAGATGGCGCATGCTGTCACCCCGATTCAAAGGGGAGGCCTTTATTCATCATCATCATCATCTGAGAGAAAAACAGGTCACCTTTCTTTCCTCCGTGGAAACAGGTGAAGCAAACAGGGGCGCCATCACAAACAGGAAGCCAGAGATTGGAGCGTAGAAGGGTCCTAGTGGTGGGGGACTCCAACGTGGCCAGGGTTACGGATGGCGTCTTCAAGACAGTGAAGGAAGATGGGAGAGTCAGGTTGGAGGCACAGTCAGGCAAGAGCATGGTGAGTGCACTGGCCAAAGCTCAGGAGCTTGCAGAAAACAGCATGGAGGGCGAAAATCTAGTCATTATTCATGCTGGGCTCAATGATGTGTTGAAGGGCAAGGATCAGAACCTTCAGAGAAAGTTAGAGGATGGGATGTGTAAGCTCCGAAAAGCCTTTGGGAGTGTGCATGTGACCATATGCACAGTCCCAGAGGTCTGGGGCAGCCTCGTGGGATTGAAAGGAGGGTAGTGGAGGCCAATTGTGTGATCAAGAGTTTGAGCCGGCAACTCGGATACAGCGTAATGGAAGTTAACCAAGACGTGTACGAGCCCGGCCCTCGCCCCTTTGCACAGGATGGCATTCACTACAGTGGAGCGATGGGCAGGAGGGTCGGTAACAGAATGGGTCGCCAAGCCATAGCTTTTTTAGGGGGACCCAGAGCCCTGAGGCCAACAGTGTAGCCAAAGACGGACCTAAAGGGCACGAGTGTTCAAGCCACACGAAGACCGTGGGAGAAGAAATCGACGTAAGTACAAGGGCCGCGCTAAGCCAGACGTAGGCTATATTAACATGCAGGGTGGCAGGAATAGG